TTTGAATCTGATATTGCAGAACTTCAAAAAAAAGGTGGTGTGATCAAACACAGCCGCTCTGGGGAGAAGCATCCAGCCCTCACACTCTCACACTTTCTTCGTGTTGAAAGCACACTGATGCTTGTTGAGATAGCGCACACACCATTGATGGCAACCTCGCCCTTGAAATCGAAGTTCACTCAAACCATTGCTACTCGAGCGGCCCCTTTCCCGTTTTTTTTCATGCTCGTTTAACACTGGTGGTTTCCTTTCTGCTTGAGCATTCGACGGCAGTTCTAACACGCGGAGGATGTTATTTTATGCGCCTTTCAGGTGGTAAGATAGGCTGACTCATTTGATCTTTGCTTCAGCACTCAAAATATATTGTAACAATACTGATTGTTGGCATAGTTGGTACTTGCTTAATGACATGCTTTGGCCGCAAATAACACAATGTAAAGGAACACACAACGACAAGCACAAGCAGCACTTCCAACAGTTGGAAGTGCCACTTGTGCTTGTCGTGTATTCCAGTACTTAGTGTTTGTGTTATCTGCGGCCAAAGCATGTCATTAAGCACTCGCGCTTTTTTACCCATTCGTGAAAGTCGCGATGAGCGAGGGCATATTATAGCTTTAGATTTGTCACGGAACATGGCGGCGACAGCAAAACCCCATCTGAAGTGTTCATATATTGCTGTCGCAATACACTGAAAGCTCTTCAATTCACACCTCATTATTTCAAAATTTTTAATAATTCAAAATGGTTGCTGCTGTCCAGTCAGATGTGCATAGGAGACCATGTGTGAAATAATTTGTTAATTCGAACAGAAAGTGCCGCCTCTACGGATAATTCAATACACGCGTTCGCCAAGCACCATCGTCGTCAAACACTAGTGGAAGCTTTTACGACCGAACGATAGGTGGCACAACCCGCTTTTTCGAGCTTGAAGCAGCCTCCGAGCAAAGGGTGAGCAAAGTATGGCCTCCGAAACTAGGGGGAGCAATTTCTTTTTTTCATCGCCTTCCCACTATATAAGCGCCTGGGGCCACTTGTATATGCGGGACGCTGAGGAGTTGGCGGAGTAGTCCTAGCAGTCCTAGGCCACACCCGGCAGCGTCACATTGTTCCTCGAGCACGTTGTTAGTTCACGCCGTCAAGCAGTCTTATTCTGCATCGAAGTAGCAAGATGCCGCGGGGAAACTGCTGCGCAAAGACTGTCAAGGAGAAGGTGGAGATTTCGGGAGAGGTTGACCAAGGGAAGTCGAGCAAATGCACGAAATAGTAATGAAGCACGGCATACCTTCGAGCACGTTGTCAACCTACATACGAAACAATGTGGGGGTGCTGGCCCTCCCTGTAAAGATGCTTGAGTCGCGTGGTGCACATGTCTCGCCCAAAAGCCACATTTCGAGACTAGCGAGCGATAGATGGTGTTGTGTTCGCGGTGAGCACCACTATCATCATCACAGTTAGTAGAATGGTAGCGCCGGCGGTGACCCCTGCCGGAAGGCAAGCCTTGGTGGTGGGCGAGACTTGAGCGAGTCTCCTCTGCGTGTGGCGGTTGCCGCGAACGGTTGTCTTTAGCGTGGGTCCCCGGTGCTCGGCACTGTGGGCTGCGCGCCGGGGGCCCTTGTGGTAAGTCAAGCGTTGGCGACGCCGCCCTGGGCGTGTTATTGTGTTTGTCATGTTATTGTGTGTTTGTCATGGACTGTATGGTAATATTCTGTACGGATGTCCTAGCGTGTTGATAACAATTGATGTATCGATTCGGCGGACGATATCGTTATTCTAAACTAGTTAAATAAATGTGTGTTGTTGGTTTGTTCCGACCGCGTCTGCTGTGTCCGTTCACTCTAAGAGCGTGGCGTTCACTCGCAATTCGAGACCCCACAACAGGACGGCTATTAACGTTTATGAAGCCGAGCATTTTGATGCCAGTTGGAGAAGGCTAAGGACAGTGAAATTCTCGGAACTGGAGTCAGCTTTGATTATCTTGGTTAAAGAAATGAGAGCCCAGAAGTATCGCATTGAGCGGCCCTAATCATGGCCAAAGCAGCCAATTTCGCCCTGCGCTTGAACATTGAAGACTTTGTCGCCTCCGAGGGATGGTTTCATTGTTTCAGGGAGCGGCAAAATCTTGTATTCCGCTTGTTATCCGGCAAGGCAAAGGAAGTGCACACCGAAACATGCGCTACTTGGAGAAGCAACTCTCTGCAGCAGTACTTGGAGAGATATTCGCCACAGGATGTGTTTAGCGCTGACGAGGCAGCGTTACTTTTCAAGTTGCAGCCAGACAAGACGATCACTTACAAGAGAGACAGCTGTGCCGGCAGTGCGCAGCAAAGAGCATGTCACTGTTCTGGTCGCCGCAAATATGACCACTACTGAAAAGGTCCCCCTTTTTGTGATTTGCAAAGCACCCAAGCCACAGTGCTTCAAAAACATTCGATCACTCCCGACAGAGTACGCCGCAAACAAGAAAGCCTGGATGACAGGTGACCTATTCAGGAAGTGGCTACTGGAATTCGACAGATGAATAGAACCGAGCGGCAGACGTGTTCTTCTTGTCGTGGACAACTCTTCGGCGCACAAAGTGGACGTTGAGCTGAAAGCAACAAAGTGAGTGTTCCTTCCAGCAAACACAACTGCGGCCCTACAGACAATGGACCAGAGTGTTATAAGGAACATCAAGTGCTTTTATAGGCATCACATGCTGGAGAGAATGATTTTGTGCGTGGGCGACAGGAAGGACTTAAGCATTACGCTGCTCACTGCCATGCACATGTTGGTGCACGCATGGGAACAGGTGACCGTGATCACAATCACAAACTGTTTTCGCCACAGTGGATTTGCAGTTGGAAGTGCACAGGATAGTTGCGACGTCGGCGTGGATGGGGCTGAAGAGCTCATGCAAGTGGCATTGTGCGACACTCTTCAGGGCGTCTATTTTGCTGATTATGTTGAAGTTGACACCGGTGCATTGGTGTGTGGTGCCCTGACTGATGAGGACATCGCTCAAGTAGTAGCTTGCTGCTGAAGAGCCAGAAGGCGAGGAAGATGAAGATGACGAAGTGCCTGTGCGCTTTTCAGCATCTGAGGTGATGGAGGCACTTAATGTGGCCCGTCTTTTCTTCAGCTTTGAAGAGGGTGAAGAGGATTTCCTGTGCCGTGCTCGCGCGCTGGAACAGAGAGCCACAACTGTGGTATTCAGGGAAAAGAAGGTCATTACAGACTTTTTTGGCTAATAAATATTATTCTTGCCCCTCCCTCCCCCAGAAATCCACCCATTCTTACTCACTTTCATTATTTCAAATTTCGTTGAATTTGAAATTGCTCAGCGTTCCTATGGAATTCGAATTAGCAAACTTTTATTGCAATAAGGCAGTTTTTTACTACTAAGTAAGTGTTTTTTTGGGGTTAGCTCTGTCTTTAGTCCCCTTCTGTTTATGTGTGTTTATTTTCGTATTGAACCTGCACATATCGAAATCTTCTTCCTAATGAATTTTTCTGAGAATTTATCAATTTTGTTATATCGAAGTCTAACTATAGTCCATTCAGTGTTTTAAAGCAAGATATTTGGGACATACTTTGCATGTTAACGTTTGGTTTTTGGGGGGGCGATTCCGAATGATCGCAATTGAAAAGCTTTCCCGCTGCGGACTCAGACTTTTCCCACCAGTAGGTGGACTTGAAAGCTCAGCAAGCTCTAGTTGTCGCGGCTCTTCTCCCCACCCTGTAGACGAACTTGGTTCCACGCATGCTGCCCTCAGACGAGCTCATAAGTGCATCTCGTTTGCACCTGATCTCATGTTTTCTATGGCACACTTCCTGGGGCGACGCGTTGATTGAGTTGTGTGTCGGCAGGCTAGACCTCACGAGCAGAATCGCTGCAGCACTTGGCAGTGGTTACATTTTGAAAGAGGTAAATATAAGGGAACAACGTTTTGGTTATGAAAGCAGCGACTCGCATCGTTTACGAAAACAAAGATGTGCATGGTGCAAGTGCAACATTCCAGTTCGAGCGGTCGCCCGTGCTGCAGACAACGCATCAAAAGCAAGCGGAAATTCGATTGTCAATATGCGGCGGGGAAATCAGACACATATACCAAAAGCTCCGAGAGGTTAGTCGGCGAGCTTCTGCAAGTGTTTCTGTTTCTGCGTTCATTTTGTCGGCACAGCAGGCCTGAGAACATGAGCTTTTCAGCATTTGCAATTTTAAGAGAATGAGAATTCGTATCTCTGTCACACAACTCAATTATCAGAATGAAGTGGCTGCCAATCCGACAAATCTTGCACATTTGTAATCTCTAAATATTGTAATTTCACTTATATGACGTATATGCATTCTTTTGGCAAGTTACGTTATATATGTGGCAGTTTATGATGAATTAGAAAGGTAATCCGACCAGCACTGCACAAGCATGCGTGTCTTTCTTTATCTAAAGTGCACATACTTACTTCCAACGTAGCACGTGTGCACCTGAGGATAGACGCACGCTAAAGCTTTTCGACCCCGAGAAATTTTACTTTCATTTTCGAAATATGAAACGACCACGTTTAGCACTATTTTGGTGCCGAATAGTAGAAATATAGCAGGATTGGTCTTTCAGCGCAATCGGTGCAGCTATCACATCACTGTGGCACAGGTAAACAAGCTAGGCACGCAATGGTTCAAATAATAATAATAATAATGCTTTATTTCTTCAGTAACATTACAAAAAGGCGGCAATAGCAAAAGGCATCAAGGCCTGACAAAGGCTTTTGCTCCATTCACTTATTTGGCTGCAGCGAACAGATTATTTGTACAATAAATGCACCTGGTACATTACCATCTTACAATATAACAAAATATAACAGCAAATGACACAAAGCAATAACTTATGTCCCACTCCCATATACGACATATAACTAGACATATGTCCCACTCCCACGTACGACATATAACTAGCGAAGGCTGTGGCACAACATTACAACATAGCACGATTGAAACAGAATAAACGCCAGATGAGGCAACCCACCTGATCAATCTGGCCCTTGCACTGTAGGATGATCACCTCGAGAAGCTTGAGCGCATGGAACTTGGGGTCTTCACCAGAGTCACCTTCCAATACCTGCACAGGGCCGCGACGGTTACACAGAGCAGCACGTTGCCATAATCAGCCCCTACATTCTATAGTGGGAACCTGTAGCATGATAAAACAAGGTAGGCATGATATAAATGAGATCAAGGCAACACAGAGCATACTGCTGGCACTGAATGGCAAGCTACTCCACCAATCAGCACAGTTACAATTCGCTCACATGAGTTTGCACCCAATCATATCAAACTCAACTGAAGAACAATAAGCAGGCATCCAAGCCTTCCATCTGCATCAGAAATGAAGCAGGCACAAATAAAGCAAATAAAGCAGGAAATAAAGCCACAAATAAAACAGCAAATAAAGCAGGGGTAGAGAACAGTTATGGGGAAAAAAAAAGTGCACTAGCACCAGCAAATAAACAAGCCGATTTCCACACAAAAATTTCACAGAACAGAAAAAACTTCAAATATATTTAAAATATCACTCTTCCACAAGAGTTACAATCTTTCACAAGAGCTACGAGCACTTATACCCAGACAATAAATGTAAGCTATGCGTAACAGAAAAGGCATCTTATAAACATATGTTATGGGAATGCCCCAACTTATCAACAAGTTCTCCTGAGGCCCTCCGGGAGCAGTGGCCACTTGTGCTGCCCAGCTCTGAGATTGAAGACCAAAAATGGGCTATACAGCAGGCCAGGGAGGCTGTACAGAGACAAGGTCTCCCGGTACCTCCTTGTGCGGTCTAGCCCGGACCACAAACATGCCGGATACAGAAATAAAGTTTATTCATTCATTCATATCCACAAAGTGAACAATGTTACAGGAGCTTGCTCAGAGATGATTGGATAACCAGTGAATGCTCCATACACATTCATAATCTAAAGATGTGGCGGGTTTGCTGAAGGGGGGACACAGGTTTTGGCGACAAAAAAAAAAAAAAAAAAAAAAGAACGGAAAAAAAAAAAAAAGATTTTGCAGTTTGGTGATTTTCGTTCTCTTCATATCGTCCCGCACCTGCCAGCGAAAAATGAACTGGAAATGACGTGTCACTGAGAAATGTCGTGTTTATTCATCCCAGCACTTGGTTTCGCTTATGAAAATGCCGAAAACAGCCCCCTTTTGCGTTGTTCGGATCCCGCTAACCACTTATCAAATCGCGGCCATTAGTCTCGCTTGACAGAGCTTCTGTTGAGCTCGCTTTCCCGCGAGGAACGAACCCCCAAAGCTGCAGCCAGTCTACGCTACCAGACAAAAACAAGCGACAAAATTGTGCCGTATCATTGGTTCATAGCAGTCACGTGAGTGAACGGCGGCTTGCGATTGGGGCGCGGGGACTGACAACACTGATCACAGGCGCGCAGCAGCAAACACACGCGTTGTCACCGCCATTTTGGAAGTTTTGTAATTTTGAGATAGAAATCAAGATGCCGAACCGTGCTCGAATGCTCCACACACTGCACTAATTCGGCAAGCGACCGAAGATATGTGCATGTGCAACCCAAGCAGGACAGAAGAGTCGAGCAGGACAGAAGACCAGCAGACGCCGCGATGCAGCAGCCTGACACGAACGCAGCCTTCGATTGCTACAACGTCTACCAATGGCGATACGTGCCCAGAGTGCCATAAATTATCGCAGCTGCCGACGAAAAAAATCTGCAGATCTCGGCAGAAGAGCGCAACGAATTCCGGGACAAGCCGCGCTGCAACACAAGCGATCGCGATGACGACCAAGGTGCCGTCGGAATCTGCTGATTGCGGTCATACTTGAACAAGGCGCCAGGAAAAGAACAAGGCACCAGGAACAAGGCGCTTGTGATTATTACAGAGAGAATGCTGCTGCAGCAGACCTCCGAGCCAGAGAAAGGGTGGCGGCAACCGCTGTCTGCAGTACTTCAGGTATGCGCGATCGAGCTGCGAGGATAGGCGTGACACTTTTGACATTGGCTGACAAAAAACTCATTGAGCATCGCGCACAGCAAAAAGCAGCGAATTTCCCTCGGTCTCAGTAACCGATCGCGAAATGAGTGTTCTCGCGAGTCAGCACAACCCCGAAAGCTCAGTCAGCCACAGCTTACTAATTGAGCAATCTTTTTGCCGAGTGTGCCGTGGTTAGTTGACCATCAAACTGCGACGCGTGTGAGTACAGTGTAGCCGTTAACCTGAAGCTTCAGTGCACCAACTGCGTCGACGTTGGTTCGAAATGGAGCTCGCGATGGGTTGGTGGCAGTAGTAATTGTAACTTGTTCGAAATCAACGTTCGCATGGCAGTTCGGAGCACTGGGAATGGTCAGACAGCTCTGAACGACACCTTTGCCAGCTATCGGTGTTACACATCGAGGCCCTCATACAAAAACGTACCAATAGTAATTGAAAATGAAACTTTAGCCAGCAGCAACGAGAACTTGTGCCGAACATTTGACTAAGTGTGCCACAGCGGTAAAGAGCCACTACAAGGACCACAATTTCGACATCCCTGGAAATATTCTCTCTTTTGAAAGCTGGCACACAAGAGTACACACCTCTCACATTGGAATAACTGTGATTGAAGTTTTTTCAGGTCATGTGCTAGACTATGTCATCATCATCATCAGCCTGACTACGTCCACTGCAGGACAAAGGCCTCTCCCATGTTCTGCCAGTTAATTCGATCCTGTGCTTGCTGCTGCTAATTTATACCCGCAAACTTCTTAATCTCGTATGCCCAATTAACCCTCTGTCTCTCCCTAACCCGCTTGCCTTCTCTGGGAGTCCAGTTAGTTACCTGTAATGACCAGTGGTTATCCTGTCTACGCGCTACATGCCCGGCCCATGTCCTATTTCGTCTTCTTGATTTCAACTATGATATCCTTAACCCCCGTTTGTTGCCTAATCCACTCTGCCCTTTTCTTGTCTCTTAAGGTTACACCTACCATTTTTCTTTCCATTGCTCGCTGCGTCATTCTCAATTTAAGCTGAACCCTCTTTGTAAGTCTCCAGGTTTCTGCTCCGTAGCTATGTACTGGCAAGATACCGCTGTTATATACCTTCCACTTGAGGGATAGTGGCAATCTACCTGTCATAGACTATGTAGTGCTTTCTAAATTTGGCTTGGCTGTGAATGTGGTCCAAAACCCGAGATCCCAGAATACTCTGAATGGAAAGCCAAACATTGTTGCCAGAAAAATACCTCACGCAAGGCTGGCCAAATGGAAGTAGAGGCAGCAATGATTTTATTTAAGCGCTCCCTTTCGCTTCATGGCCTCAGGTACACCATCGTGCTTTGTGATGTTGACATCCGGTCCTATAGTACTGCCAAAGGTGCTAAGGTGTATGGCTTCATAAATGTTGAAAAAGAAGACTGCTTGAACCATGTGCAGAAGCGCATGGGGACTGAGCTTTGGAGCCTCTCGGGTGACCTCATCACAAAATTGATGAGCTATTACGGCTGGGTTCTGAAATGCCATTCTGGGAATATGGATGAGATGCACAAAGCTGTGTAGGCTACGTATCATCATGTCACATCCACTGACGAGAAATCCAACCACAGCTTCTGTCCACACAGCCCCGAGTCTTGGTGCAAGCATAATGCCTCCATGGGAGGGAATGAGCTCATCCCAAAAAGTAAGTGAGACTTGTCAGAGGCTGTGAGCAATGCACTGTGTCCTGTTATGAATGCTTGCATGACAAGAAGCTTCTGCAGAGAAGCACCAGAGGGAAGACGTAGAATGCGAATGAGGCCTTGCATGCAGTCATTTGAAGCCTCTCACATAGGGACAAGAACGCGTCAGTGTTTGCCGTTGAGACGGCCATGGCAGATGATGTTATGCATTTCAAATTAGGGAACAAGGAATCTAGTTCGCTTATTTTGCGTGAACAGCAGCTAGATCAAACATGCACAGGTAACCAGCGGGTGGTTGAGAAAGACTATCGCCGTGTCGTTCTTCAGTGTGCAAGAAAACTTTGATGAAATGTTTGAAGACATTGTAAAATTTTAAAATTTTCCAGAAATCACCAGTGAAAATTCAGAGCTATGAGACTGCAATATAAAAACTTCATAACTTTGGATAAAATTTAGAATACCAGCATTAAATTGCATATTTGCACTATTGGAATATTCAGCAACATACAGGTTAAATTTTAGCTCTCTTGATGCATTACTCTTTAATAGGCTTGTGCAAATAGTGAATTTCAGGTTCGAAGCGAATCTTCGAATTCCTATTACTGCCACCCTGCATGTTAATATACCCTACGTCCGAATTGCCTCGGCCCTTGTGCCTACGTCGATTTCCCCTCAGACTCTATGTGTCTTAAATATTGGTGTCACTTTGGAATCGTATCTGTCTATATCACCTGTCAAAAAGAGTCCCCCTGGTTGTTTTCTTCCTTACCACCATATTTACTCGCATATTTCCTCACACATTTTTTTGACGGGAAACCGATGCAAAGTTAAGGGGTGCGAGAATGACACGGGGAAAACTTTCTACGAAAATGTACAGAGTGTAAAAGAACGCGAAGTGGCCACAAATCGGGATTCTCACACCAGCAACTAATGACAAGCTTAAGAAGTACTAATTAAAATTTACCTCAACAATAAAAGCAGAGGTTCTACACAAGGCAAGATTTATTTGAGACAGAATAAGTGCAAGCAAATAGTCAAGAATTAAAATACGATACGCAAAGCTTGTGGGTGTTGCGTGCGTAGCGGTAGCGTTCGTCACACAACAGGAGCCCTCAAAAGGTAATTGTAGGATGTCAGTATTAGGCTGATGGCTATTTACTAGAATCTTCCGCAGTTTCCTTCTGAAGAAATAAAGTTTACCATCAATCCCAGTCTTAGGCACCCGGCAAGCCCAACACGTCTCAGTGGCTTTCAGTTGCCGTCACCAGTAGCGAACACAAAACTCGTAGACTTCGAAGGGCCTACCGGCGGCTCTGTTGCCGTTGTTTAGTGCATGATCAATCACTTTCAACTTCAAAGCAGCCCCGCCGCGGTAGTCTAGTGGCTAAGGTACTCGGCTGCTGACCCGCAGGTCGCAGAATTGAATC